AAACAAAAAAAAAAACAACCCATCAAATTCAAAAGTTGCAAAAACAAAATGCAGAGGATGGGAAAAGAGGTCCACAAAAGTAGACACCCCCTGATTTGCTGGTAAAATAAATAAATCAATCTAAATACGAGAGATTCTTTAAAAAAAGAAATTGCCTAAGTAAATTACAATGACAAGAACATGAAGAAAAAGAAGAAATAAGAGTAAAAAAAAAATAAATAAATAAAATAAAATAATAATAATAATAATGATAAAATAAAAAATAAAAATAAAATTGTCTGAAACAAAAACTTTTTGAAAATGATGAAAAGATATTTTTAAAAGACTTAAATGGCTCCAAATATGTCCAAACACTAACGAATCACCGAGAGGAAAAGTAAAATAAAATAAATGAAATTAGAGGACAAACGATATATATATATATATATATATATATATATATATATATATATATATATATATATATATATATATATATATATATATATATATATATATATTACTTATACACATACATACCCTATAGATAAGTATCGTCCCAGTCGAAACTTTCTATCTTTTTTTTTTATTTGTCCGTTTCTTTCATTCGAAAATGAGGTTAACGAAGTGAAAAAGAAGATAAGATGTGGATGTTGGTGTAATAATCGATGGACCAAGAGAACTTGACTGACAGACAGAGACACGCCTACGAAACCCAGACATAAGTCGAACTCCAGACAAGACTTCTGGTTTCTAGTCTTTTAACTAAAGAAAAAAAAAAGGTATTATTCTCAATTACAGGATGAAGTTAGCGAACGGTTCGCTTTTCTAGTTATCGTCTCGACTTTTGAAAGAAAAAAAAAAGGAAAAAAAAAAAGACATTTTTAACTTTGGCAACATTTAGTTCCTTTTTATATTTCGCAAGTGAAGACGTCGTTTTTAGATATTCAATTGTGGTAAGAGAAAAAAAAAAGCCGCTATCTGAGCCTATATCATTAGGATTCAGTAGTGAGTGCTTGTTTTTTGCTAACCAGTGATAATGAAATTATCAATGGAAATCTCTATGTGTTATTATGGCGATTGTTGAAGATGTTATATTTCAGTCTAAGGCTATCAGGACTTTCTTTTCTAATTGGGAAAAACGGAATAGTAAAGGCGTTAAAATATAATACAAGACAGGGAATCAAAGAACGGCTAAGAGAGAGAATGAGAAAGAAAAAGAGAGAGGTTACCAACAGAAACTGAAAGAGTAACCGGGAGAAAAAGAAAAACAATAGAAAAAGATAGATAGATAGATAGATAGATAGATAGATAGATAGAAAATGAACATACTTATTTAGATAGACATGAATAGATTCCGACAGATAGATAGATAGATAGATAGATAGATAGATAGATAGATAGATAGATAGATAGAAAATGAACATACTTACTTAGATAGACATGAATAGATTCCGACAGATAGATAGATAGATAGATAGAAAATGAACATACTTACTTAGATAGACATGAATAGATTCCGACAGATAGATAGATAGATAGATAGATAGATAGATAGATATGAACAAACTGGACTAACACACACACACACACACACACACACATATATATATATATATATATATATATATATATATATAGACAGAGAGAGAGACAGCAATGAACAGATGGAAATAGATTAATACATAGATATAAATCTATTTATTTATCAATGAACAAACTGGAATAGATAGATATCAATGAACACACTGGAATATATATATATATATATATATATATATATATATATATATATATATTTTTTATTAAAATTTCATCATATAGACAAAACCATTTTCCTCACTACAAAGATGCAACTTGTTCTCAGTGCATTTCAACCTCACTTCGACGGGTGAGAATCGAAATTCGTCGAAGTGCAGTTGAAATGCACTGAAACGAAGTTGCATCTTTGTAGTGAGGAAAATGGTTTTGTCTGTATGATAAAATTATAATAAAGAAATAATTATCGCTCTACTATCGGTATCGAGTCCTCTTTTGGATTAATGCTGTGAAAGTTGGAATTTATATATTATTAGGTTGGTGCAAAAATAATGACGTAATAAAGTTTTAAAGTCAAAAACCGACATTATCACGTCATTATTTTCGCACCAACCAAATATTATCGTTCTCATCGCATCGGATATATATGTAATTTAACAACTATTATTCGGACTGTTTTTATCTTTGTCGCCATATTTATTACAACGTTTCGGCCTTTCAGTATCTGTCTATATTTCTGAGATGAGGTATTATGTACACTATTTACATTATTCGGACTATTGTCCTCATCTTTGTCGGCATATTTATTACAACGTTTCGGCCTTTCAGTATCTGTCTATATTTCTGAGATGAGGTATTATGTACACTATTTACATTATTCGGACTATTGTCCTCATCTTTGTCGCCATATTTATTACAACGTAAAGGACACATGGCACAGTGGATAAAGGCGTTAGTTAGATCCAGTAACAGGACCCATGCC